CCCCAAAACCCCAAAACCCCAAAACCCCTCAAAGAGAATTCTCTTCAAATTTATAAGATATTTAATAGCAAAAATAAGAGGCTTGTAAATTATTATATTTATATTAGATAAAGATGCTCTCTAAGTTATCAAAGAAGATTATTTCTTAGTAATCCCACTCCACTTATACTCTTAATGCCCTATTCAATGGCAACTCATTCGCAAGACAAGCCTAAATCAGCTAAATCATGTCAGTTTGCAAGTAAAATCAGTTATTGAACCCATAAATGAGACTATTCACTACAACTACTGATGGAAAAGAATCCCCATCTCATGGAAGTTAAAATTTTGGAAATGTAAGAAATATATATCCTTAATTTAATGTCTGAAACTAGGTCGAGAACAAAGATTATTATAATAATAGAGCCAACACTCAAAATAGAGTTTCTTTTGGTGTGACTAGAAATTTCAATAAGAATCTACCTCTAGCTGATCAAATCAAGACTGTAGCTGATTAGATTAGAGCTACTCCAGAACTATAACTAATAGACTTCATAGCTAATCTCAAATTCATTTCAAGATAAGTCTCAGTTTAGCCATTTAACTCATCAGCTGTCCTCTTGAGAAAATTAGATACAAGAAATGATTTGGCTGTTGTACATGAGGTATATGAGAAGTTTATTGATTAACTCCTTCCCTAACATTTGTTTGAGTATACCAACTACCTAAATCTCTTGAGATAAAATCACAACGATGGACTTATAAGTATTAAAGTTAAATAAAGGCTTATTAAGAGAATTAATACTCTATTCACAGAATAATAGTACCAAAATGAAATGCATGAACTTAGTTTCGATTAAGTCAGCAAAATTCTTTCAGATAGTATTCATTTTGGGTAGGTAGGTGTAGTAGCCAACAGACTAGAAGAATTATTAGAGAAGAATTCCACTATTTCTAATCTTAACTCAGTAACCAGACTTTTAGATTCTCTCTTCAACTCTGAGCAAGGTATCGAACAGTTAGACAGACTAGTAAGAAAGCTAGAAGGACTCCTTAGACAATAAGAGAACTTTAATATGCTTAATATTTCGCAAATAGTCAGATTAACAAAGATATTTGCATATTCTCAGCATGTAAACCTTAACAAACATAGAATTATTGAAAAATTGATTAGACATATTGAAACCAAAATGGAAGATCTTGAGGAAAATGATGTCATAAACATTATGAACGCATACGTATACATCTAAGGAGATGTTGCTAGATCTCAAATATTATTCAACAAGCTTAATTCTGTTGTCTCAAATTAGGCTATTTAAAATTAATAAGATGTCTCAGCTAGTTTCTTAATGAGATATCTTTCTGTTTTTTATGATCTTCCATCCGGAAAGCACCTAGGTAAAAATATTGAGAACAACTTAGTCCAACTTTTAGAGAAGAAATTGTAAGAAGATCCCGACCTTTCATCGTAAATTGCAATGAATAGATTATCCAAAATTTTAATGAGGCATCCTGAATCTTAAACAATACAAGAGGTGGTTGCTAGAATACTTGCAAAGCAAGCAAAACATTGTACTTTTGATGAAATTAGATTAGCGTTCAGGTCGTTAAAACGATACAATTCAGAGAAATTCGAGGAGATTGAGGCTAAGGTAGCTGAAGAATTAACATCATACAAGAAACCAACACCTTCATAATTAGGAGAATCAATTTATATTATTGATTCAATGAAATCAAGAGAAAAATATCAAGAAAAGCTATAAGGACTTCTAAAATTATTCTAAGATAATGTAAAGTTCTTATACAGAACAAATGCTATTGAACTCATAAAGCATCACAGATTCCTTCCTGGCACCAGCGAAAATGCTAATATTGTCGCTACCAGCATCTATGATACTTTATTCCAATCTTAAGAGCAACTTAAAATGACTTCTATAACTGCTTTAATAGATCTTTACATCCATCTAGAGAAAATGTCCTTTGCAGGTAAGAATGCCCACTTTAAAACTGATCATATCAAGTAAATTAGAGAGATTGTTTCTGATTTAACTTCAAATCAATTGAGACTCTATTTTAAAAAGATTGTGAGCAACAATGAAAAGCTAAACCCAAGTCAAATTAGGCAACACCTGGAATTCCTTAACAGCTAGAAAAATGCAGACAAACTTCCAAGTTATTATTTCTTCATTTTATCTGAAAAAGTAATCCAATCAATTAGAAATGAAGAGACCTACTAATAAGTTGAGAGAAACAATATCGATTTTCATTTGTCAGAATTATTGAACAAAATTAAATTAGAGGAGTTTTAACTTTCTCCCGCATTTTTCGACAATCTCAGACTTTGCAAAAGCTACATGTATTAAGTTCCTTAATTCTTCGAAAAAGTTCTTCGTACAATTTATAGTTCTGATAAGATCATCAACTAGGACTAATACATACAAGGACTCTCAGCTTAAAACTTATACTTCGGTAGATTCAACCAAAATGTTGCTTTGAAAGTAGGGGAATATATTGAGACCAAATTCAACCTATCACAATTCATGACTCAAATTGAAAACATTTACATTGATGATCTCATCTTCGCTAGTTATGTTAGAGCTGCTTAAATTATCCAAAAAATCTAAGTTAAAAGAAATATTACAAACGAGAATTTGATCACTGATGATAAGCTCAAAGCAATAGTTAGTTTGATTGAGCAAAGATTAGAGAAACAAGTAACCCAAGGAAAAGCAATAAGTGCATTATTTACTATTGCATCTATGGGAGATTACAGAAGCGAACTTTTAAGCAAAGCATTCGAGGCAAGAATTAAAGCCATTCAAAGCGACGCCCTTGCAGCAGTTTCCTTCAACCAAGCTTACTAAGTCCTCATGACTGTAAACACTAATGATGATGTGAGAAGCTTAGGTCAAACTAGTTTGAGACTTCTTAGAGAATTCCCCTTGAAGTTCAGTGAGAAGCTAATAAAAGAAGCATCATCATTCCAACTAGTTAAGATTTTGGAGAAATATATTGAATGCGACTGGCTTTTGAATGACTCATATAACAGCATTATCAAAGGAATAGGTTAATAGTTTGCAAACTTTACTTCTAGGGAGTTGTCAAAGATTATTGGGTATTTGAACTAACAAGACATTAGACACGATGAACTATTAAATGCTGTATTTGATAAAGTGAGCTCACAGGCAGTTGGTAAGCCAGATAACGTGAGCTTTAATTCAGTTGTCATTCCTATTCTAAAATACATGACAAACACAGATTTAGCAACCGGCGAGAGATTCGAGAAACTTGTCTTTGGGGATTTTGTAAAGTAAGTCCTCAAAACTGACTCTACTTTTGCTTAAAAGGCATTAGACGAGAGATCTAACCATGTCTAGGTCTTAACTTCTATTTTTGAATCAGGCTTAGATTAAACTCACCCTGAAATTAAGCAACTTGTAATATTTCAATATCATCTTACTATATTTAGGCTGAAAAATTGGTTGAGTTGATTAACAAAGAAAAATTCTTTTCATACAACCAACATTTTGAAGAACTTGGCAGACTCTATTAGATCCTCAATATCGGTAAAAGCCCACTTGACACCGTATTTAATCCCAGTATTCTTCCTCAACTAGAGAAAAACTTTTAAAAGGAACTTGAAAGAATATAAAATCCATCAAAGTTATTTAAGGATTCTAATATTATCCAAGCTTTAAAGGCACTTGGTTATAATGATCTTGAATACAGAGTAGTTGTCGATGGATACTTAGTGCCCCTATACTCCAAAGAACAGTAAGTTTCATTCGAAGTTAAAATTATTTTAGCAACACTGTAATCTTAGTCCAAGACTCTCAAAATCTCTGCTATGATAGATAATACCCTAATGGTATCTTTAAAATCCAAAAGAGAGTAATCGAATCACTCCCAAGCAACCCCAAGGTCTTCAGCGCCAATCTTTTCTAACTTAACAAAATCGAAACAGATCAAAAGGATAATCACAAGTAGGGCAAAGTACAATATCTCTTATAGGATCAGAAAATTCCTCAGGTTGGTTCTGAGATCTAATTAGTTCAAGAAGGATGGTGAAAATACCAAGTATCATGCTTATTATTTACTAAATTAACTTCTCTCAATATATTAATTGTTATTTCTATAATCAACATATTTCTTAGCGATATGATTCAAAGGGGT